GTATTTTCTCTATGACTTCATTTCTCACATCATTTCTTACCTCATAGATCAGTTTAACCATGAATTTTCTGAATTTCATCTCTGACATTTCCTCTATAACTGAGGTGTCAATGGGGTCTACTGTTGGGGTGGTCTGGGTTCTTTGGGATGGTTTTTCCTTGTTTCCTCATGATGTTCGGTGTCTCCCCATCTATCTAGATGGGCCTGATGCTGTAGAGTTTCTACCTGGTGAGTGTATAGTGTCCCTCTATGTTACTAGTACCTCACAGATTGGAGGAAGGGGACCTAAAGACAGCAACAATGTATGCAGACAATATATAGCAGTAGACTAGGTGCTTGCTTCCCATTCTAATATTTAGTGTTAATTGGTACAATATGTAGGGAGAGTAGGATCAGCAATTTCCACCAGAAAAAAAAAAACAGTAAATAATCATGCATTACATTTGGCTTAAAATCAAACAACTGGTGTTGTCTATGCCTTCCACCGTACTAATTATTGCTGTGACCTTGGTGGTAGGGTAGAGGTCATATACCTCAATTAGTATTAAGAAGTGTTAAGGAGAGAGTTGAGCATGAGAAAGAAGAGGCAGGAGGGTGGGAAAGTGACTGCAATGTCAAAGGGTCAGAAGCTCGATGCGGTGGTGACTTAGGGTACATTGTTAGTTTGAAAGGGGATGAAAAATAGAAGAATATAAAGGAGAGAGAGAATGGAATTGGGTGTCAGGAAAACAGAGAGGGAGATGAGAGAGAGAGAGAGAGAGAGGAGGGGAGTGATAAAGATGATACAAAACAAATTCAAAATAAGCTCATCAGAAACCCTGACCCTCAGAATACAGAGCGTGGGAGAATAACACCTTCAAAAACAAAGAATGTGTAGGAGTCCTTGACTCAGTCAGTACACATCAAATCAAACAAAAACCCAGTATAGAAAAGCCAATGCAGAGGGGCTGGGATTAACCACCGGCATTAGGACCCACCCGGCTCTGATCCCTGAGCCTGCCCCTGGGATTGTGGCTCAGCGGTAGAGCGCTCGCCTAGCACGGGCAGGACCCGGGTTCGATCCTCAGCACCACATAAAAATAAAGGCATTGTGTTGTGTCCATCTACAAAAACAAAAAGAAAAGAAAGAAAACCCCAAACAGAGCAAAACAGAGCTACTACCACAACAAACAAGCAACAAGAAAAAGAATCGTGGTGGAATGTTAAGAAATCAAGGAGTCGTCTCCTCTGAGGTGGACGAAGTGGTCAGTGAGTGCCCGGATGGATGTGTGCCCTGGATCCGTTCCGTTTCTTCCTGAGGTGACCAGCGTGGGATTGGGTGGTGGGTTTAGCGTCCCTTCCTGTTACTGTGTTGCTCAGCGTGTTGAAGGTTGGGGTTCAGACTTCCCAATTTCCCTTCTTGGGAGATTAGTGTGGGCGGGCAGCAAAGCCACTGGCCACGTCTGGGGACAGGTGAGTCAGGACCAGGCACTGGGTCCCTGGGCCGTAGTGAAGCTGTGGCCTGGCACGCAGGGCTCTGGGTGGAGAGGCTCCCTGCAGGCCTAGTCAGTGAGTGGCAGGCCAGGTCAGGGGCTGGGCAGTTGGGAGACTGGGGGCTGGGGCAAAGGGCCCTGGTGGGTACTGGACTGGTGCCAGACCTGGCAGGACCTGGGGGCCCAGGGACCAGTGGATGCTGGACTAGGGAGTCAGGGACCAGGCTGGTGCCAGGACCTGGCAAGTGCTGACCCAGGTGTGCCCCAGAAACCCACTGGGCTCTGGATGACTGGCTGGGTGAGCTGAGAGCAGACCCCCCACACCCTCTTCCAACCTCCCGGCCCCTGTAGCCGGCCCCATCAGTCCCTGTGAGCAGCAGGACTCACGGAGCTCCGAGGGCCCGGCTCTCTGCAGCCTCTCCAGCCTGAGTCCCCCAGGAGAATGCTTTCCACGGGTTCAGAGAGGCCCACGAAGACGCAGCTGCAAACTCATGGACCAATTTCCGTAGGCTCCGCCATGTGCAGGCCCAAGATGGCACCTGGGTCCGCTCTTGGGGGACAATCAATAAACTCAAGACCCAAAGGTTTTTTAATATCTCATTAATGAGGCAAACGTCTCTGGTTCGGCTAGGGCAGACTGCCCCTCCTGAAAGGTCCCTGCTTAGCATCTGGACGGCCATCTTAAGTGACAGTGCCATTTTAAGAAAAATTTTGCTTTCCCACCCGAGATCCTTTCTGAGAAAGGCTCCCCACCCCCTTGTACCAACCCCACCCTTAACCACCCACATCAGGACCCACCCGGCTCTGATCCCTGAGGCTGCCCCCTAGAAGCCCGAGCCCCAGCCCACGGTGCCTCTCTCCGTCTGGCGAGAGGTGGCCTTGATCTGTCAGCTCTGACAGAGGAACTCCGTGTGGCTCTGCCTGGTCTCGTCTTTCCTTTCTCGCTCGCCGTCTCCCGGTTCCTCACTTTCCCTTCAACTCTGAGCCCCCGGGGAGACGTGGCATTCCCGCTGCTTGAGTCCCCGGCAGCTGAGCCAGGAGAAAGCGCCACGATGAATCACCTTCAGGTCACTGTCCCCAGTCTCTTAACCTGTGTGCCCTAAGCCACAAAACAAGGGCCTCTGCTCAGGAGACCAGCTCCACAGCCCCCAGAGGCACACAGAGAGTCAGGGCTGAAACATCTGTCCTGGAGGGAAGTGGGAGGGGGCGGGAGACGCCACTGTCCTCAGCTCTCAGACCCCAGTCACCACGGTTCCCACCAGGCACTTCCCTGGGAGCCCAGAAGGGAAGCCCACACACAGAGGAGGTGGGGGCGGTGGAAAGGGTCGAGGTCGGGCGGTGGAGAGGACCAAGTGAAAGCCGTGACCCTGGCTTTGGCCAGCGACTAGCAGAGGCCTGGAGTGATCCTCTGGCCTCATCTGGCTCCTGTCCCTCAACAGGGATAGCAGTGTCCACTTCCCACGGAGGCCGCGAGCACCGGCGTGGTCAGCTGCACAGCCGTCGACAAGCATGAGGAGGGTGGCAGGACAGCCCAGGTGACGGGGAGGGGGACGACTCAAAGTGACCAGTCCCTTCCTTCTCTCCTTTCTTCCTTCTCTCTACACACCTCAGAAGGACAGAAAGTCAGCGTCCCCGTTTCCCAGGAAGGCTCCTGCCCCACACTCGTGGTCACATGCACATGTGACACCATCTTGTCAAAGCAAAGGCCACTTTATGTGTCACACACCTTGAAGCAGACACTGTTGGCCGACCCCCGACCCCTGCAAATAATCACGACCTGCCTGTTCCCTGACCCCCAGGAGCTGAGCGGCAGAGTGACAGGGACAGGGGCCCACTGCGCAGGCCCCAGGAGGGAACACCAAAATTTCAACTCAGCCTCGAAACTTCATTCTTTCTGCCAGAGATGGGTTTGGTGGCAGGGAAGGGGCACGTGACACGATCCTGGACAGGGGGAAACCAGGGGAGTCTGCGAGGAGACCACTGCTCTGGGAAAGGCTGACCTCTGGGGTAGAAAGTCCAAACAAGAGTCTCCGTGGGGTTTAGTGTGAGCTGCAGCCACCAGCCGTGAGCCACGAGGGACCAGCCACCAGCCACAAGGGACCAGCCTGAAGGCGAAAGCAAGGCTCTGGGGGCAGCCTGAGTCACGACTGCCAAGAGGAGTCAGCCTGAGTGTCCGTCAACGGATGATGGACACGGAAATGTGGTGTGTTCACCACGGAAAGCTCTTGGGCCTTAAACAGAGACAGTCGCGACAGCGTGGATGAGCTGGGGGACACTACGTCTGGGCCGGGAAGGTGAGCACCACACGGTGTCAAGGACGGCGGCACTGCACATGCCAGTGAGTCCCGTGGGCCTCCCACAGGTGTGCAAATTCCGAAACACGTAGCACACCACAGACGGGGACCATTTTTATTTTTTAATCTAAAAAATAAATTAGAAATGATAATTGTAGAAAGACACAGGAAGCCAGTGCACTGGAGACGGCAGAGAAGAAGGACGACAGACCAGGCCTGAGGACGCCCCGAGCAGACCAAGAGGGTCACGCTGAGCGAGTGCCCTTAACCCTGCTTGGTGGGCAAAAAAACGAGGCCCAGATGAAAGAGAAACGGAATGTGGGCCCCACCACAAGAAGCCACCAACACACCTGCAACTGTGTGACAAGGAACTTTGCAACACCATAAAACAAATAAGACAACTTTACAGCTGACACCAAATGCTTTCTTCGCATGTTGTCCAAACATCTGTCAAAGACTGTTCCTTACTCGGCTACGGGGGACCTCAAACCACCTCGGGTCTGGAGCTGCCCGACTCTGTGATTGCTGTTTGCTCAAATGAACTCTTTAAAGGTTCTCCGTGCCTCGGGTTCACCTGCATGGAACTGACATTAGGCATCCGTTTATACATGCTGTCAGGTTCTGGATCTGAAAAGTCCCCCAAAGGCTGATACGTTGAAGGCTGGGTTCCCGCAGTGTCCAGAGGCTTTGGGAAGTGATGGGATCACGGAGAAGTTAGCCTCCTCCATAGCTGATGGCATCACTGAAAGCCAATGGGAACTGGGAGCTGGGGACTAGGGAGAGGAAGTAGTCACTGAGTCAGGCCCTCAAAGGGCATATGCTGTCCCCAGCCCCTCCCTCTCTCTCTTTCTCCTCCACCGCACCTTCCGCCATAGTGTTTCCCTCTAAAAGCAATGAAACTAGCTGACTGTGGACTGAAACCAGGAGCCAAAACTAAATCTTTTCTTCTTTAAGTTGTTTTTTCTCAGGTATGTTGTCACAGCAACACAAAGCTGACCGGCACACCTGCTCATGGTCCATCTGTTCTCAGGGCATGCTCCATGAGAATAGAGACCTTGTCTGCTTTGACTGCAACCATCCCCTGAGCACTGACTTCACTGTCTGGCACATCATGTGGTCACTTGAGAAATATTTGGCAGGTGCACAAATGAACAAATGGCTCTGACCTACCATTCCAGCCTGCTCTTCCTAAGTACCTTTTCAGGTCCCTCTCCCATCAATGAAATCAATGACCATGGCTCACAGGTCCCCGCTCCAAGTCTTTGCTCCTGCTGTTGTGACCTACTCCTTCTTCAGAGCCCAATTCAAATCCTGCTCTGAGGGTGTGAAGGGCACCGTGGAAAGGGCTGGGTAGGTGCTGGAACTGAGCACAGAGGCCCAGCTCTGCCCAAGCCTAGCTGGGAGGCCCTGGGCAAGCCCTTCGACTCAGAAGTTCAGCTGCTGCCTATGAAACATGGCCACTGTCCACCTTGGCAGGGTTTGTTTGCTCATGCGTTTTAGAGTAAATTAAATGAGACATTCAAAAGAGGGACTTGAGTGTGACTTCCCTCCTCATCCCTCCTCTTCAAAGCTCTCACAGATCCAAACAGCCACACGGCCTTTGACTCCCCCGTCAATCTAAAACCAGACAGAAACAAAACAAAACAAAACAAACAAAACAATCGGAGAGAGACTCTCCAAAGAATGACGACATTTATTTGGAAATAGCAGACGTTACCACGGGAACGCACACTCCATAGCAAACCGTGGGCATATCCAAAGAGATAGCAGCAAGGGGAATTGTCAAAGACCAACACAAGGAGGATCACATCAGACATTTTAAAACAGTTGTCCTTGACCACAGTGATTATAACCAGGATGGAGTCCATCTGAGATCCAACAGACGGCCGCTGGGCGGATGTCCCTGTGGACAATCGTCTAAGGTTGCATGGCCTCTGTGCGGGGCTATGGCTCTAGAAGCGTCTTTGTGATAAGCTGCTGTCAGGCAGCCACAACCTCCTGGCGTTATTAACTTTTTGGTGTTGTTGGAGTTGACACAGGTGACCGTTTTGATTCTGACGACTTTCACACTTGTTTCACACCAGTGAGCCCCGCGAGGTCCATCCAGACCACTGACCTCTTGCTAGCGGGGTCCCTGGCACTTCAGGGCCTGACTTTACAGTCCCCTTGCCTCTAGAATGTGGGTTCCTCAGGGCAGGGTCCGTGTCCCCTTCCCCTACCTCTCCCCAGGGCTGGCCACTCAGGAGATGCTCAGGGACATCCGTGGGTTAAATGTGTGGGAACAAGGAGACCTGAGGCCAGGAGGGCCAGGGCTGTGGGGAGCCGGGGAGGGACTGTCTGGAGGGAGGGCTGGCGTCCAGGTCCACACCACCCAGGGGCGGCCAGAGCTTAGGCTCACCCCAGAGAGAGGCAAAACCAAAGGAAATCAGATGGGGTGTTAAACCACAGACTCGGCAACTTCCCTCTGCGCCGCTCAGTTCTGTCCAGGGAGGGGGCTGGACCAACGGTCTCCGGGGATGAGGGGCAAAGTGGAAGGGTGGGCTTTACACTGGTCAGCTCTTGGGCTCACACTGTCACTCATCTCTCTGGGCAGGTCTTCTCAGCTGTAAAAAGTTGCAAATGACCCTTAATTGATGGAGCTGCCCAGTGGATTAGAGGGGACAGTGAGCGCCACAGTCCCTGGCAGGAGGCCCAGCACTTGGAAGGCACTGAGAGCCTCCCTTCCCGCCTCTCTCCTTTGCTATCTCTGATTCTCTCCTCCCCAAGAGTCCCCATCCTCACTCTTGACCGCTCACGGCAGAGATCCACCAGGGCTGCTTCTGCTCCGGTGGAAGGAAACTTGCCGTCCCTGGGCAGTGCCTGGTTGGCCTACCCTCGTGGGGCCCGACTTCTGAGGGACTCAGCCCCTGACCGTGAAGACCACCAAGATGGTTACATAGTGGTTCATTCCCCTCTTGGCACAGAGGAAAACACCCCCGCAGTCCCCTTCCCTCTAGACAGCATCAGATGACTCCTCCTGGCCACAGAACCCCAGCAGAAGTCCTATTAACCACTTCCACTTCTGACTCATTAAATGCCCCTCCTTTGCTCTCCCCATTTCTCTTGAAGCCCACAGTTGGAAGATGGTGGTATCACAGTTTGGAAAGTCCCTGAATTGATGCCAACCACGTCACACTGGTGTAGGTGAGTGATGCCACTCCTGAGATTTTAGGGCTCACTTGTTACTGCAGCAGAGCCTAGTCTCCCCTAGCTAAATCACAGAGCCTGACTTCTGTGGGGCACAACACTTAAACCAGGACATCTTTACCTGTCCCTCCTCTCAGGGGAGTCCCTCTTTCTCTTGACTCCTCCTCCTCAGGGAATGGGGACCAGTCTTCCCCACCCTAGCTTCCTGCCTGCACCCATTGTGAAGACACTCACTTTCAGTTTGCGGGGGTATCTGTCACGGTCTTGCAAATTGGTTCCAGTGGCCAGCATAGAATTCTGGAACTTCCCAGGGGAGTTCTTGGATCTGTGACATCCATTCCACACCTTGGGCTGGGCCTCAGTGTCCCCACAAACACCATAAGGGCCTCAGAAGGGCTTTCCTGCTCTGACACTGACCAGCTGACAAGAGCACATTGAAGAGGGACGGCCACGGCTGGCATCGTCCTGCACCCAGCCCAGCCTCCTACCTGCAGGTGCCCGTAAACTCCCCTCCCCTCGCAGGATAAGCACTTGCTACAGGCCGGGCCCTTCTGCCCGCCTCCTGCTGGAACCAGCTCCCAGCCCCGCCCCTTTCTCAGATCCGCAGGCCTCCTGCCGCCACGCCCTGACACCTGCATCCCGGCCCTGGGGGTGGAGAGTTTGTTCCCTTATCAGCCCTCTTACTGACCCCTCCCTGGTTACACAGTGGTGTGGAGCAGAATTCCTGGCAAGGACGCATCCGCGACTGTCAGCTCCGGCCATCGGTCCAGTGCACAGGGAGGAAAGGTCCCCTCGGGGCTGTCCTGGAGACGGGAAAGGCAGAGCAAGCAGGAAAGAAGCAGAAGGACCCCCAAAGGAGGTGGGACACCCCAGGCCAGGTGGACAGAGCCCAGCTGTGAAGGCAGGCCCAGGAGAGGAAGCAGAGACTCCGGAGAAGGGCCAGACCCCACGGCCCCGCGACCACCTTTCCTCAGCCTCCGCCTGCAGGACGGCAGGAGCCCAGGGCCCCAGAGGCTCCTTCTGGAGTCTGGAAGCAGTAGGATTGAAGGAAGCCCAGGTTTCTGGAAAGATCCCTCAACTCTAGCACAGCCCAAGGCCAAGTGGTCACCTGGGACCCACAGGTGGCACCCCAAACTCCCAGGGGCTGGCCAGACCCCGCAGGAAAGAGCCACAGGCCAGAGAGAGGGCAGAGGTGGACACACTCCTTCCCCGTCTGGAGGCTCACCTGGGACGTCCTGCCACCCCTGCTCGACTTTGTCTCTGCATCCTCCCCTGGGCTGTGACCTCAGGGACCCTGGCCTGGGCTGGTGATTGTGAAAGCAGCCACCTCTAAGGCGACCCCAGTTTGGCAATGCTGCCTCCTGTGACTTCAGGTTGCTGAGGGCTGAGGGCCCAGGACGCGGGCCAGCTGGCCTTCCTGCAGGGAGCCGCCCTCTTGGTCCCCGGTGTATTTGGAAGTCCATGGAAGTCCCCGCAGTCACAGGATCGTGCCTGGATCATCCAACGGGAGGCTCCCCCTTCTGCAGCTCCACCTGCCCTCTGGGTCCCGCGAGGCTCAGAGAAGGAAGCACGCCACCCTCTGCGGGCACCCTCCTGGGCACACGGAGCCCGCCACACACAGCTGCCCTGGGGAGGCGCCACGGGGCGCCCTGCTCCCTGCAGGGGCATGGAGGGGAAGATCTCGGGGTGTTGTGAGGCCCCCAAGAAGCTGGGCCTGTCCTTCTCCATCGAGGCGATCCTCAAGAGGCCCACGGAGAGGAGAGATGCAGCCAGGTCACCAGGGGCCGGTGGAGGGAGCCCCGGGCAGGCAACGGTGGAAAGTTCCAGGCTGGCGACGTCCCCGCAGCACCAGCCCCCGGGTAAGTGGCTTCCGGTCATTTCTCTCCGTTCCCTGGGCTCCGAGGCCCAGCTGGGCTCCTGCAGAGAAAGCAGAAGGCAGGGCCCTGATCTCAGAGGGGCCCGGGTTCTGGGCTGGCTGCCATATATACCCTCCAATCCGACCTGGGGCTGGGTGCTGGGTGCAGAGCTCCGGGGCTCCATGTTGCAAAATGCAGGGACCGAGGCTCGTGCTTGTCACCAGCCACCGCGGAGAATGCTCTTGCCACTTACTGGCGATGTGGCGGGCACCGTCCTTTAGCTTCAGTATCATAACTAGACAGGAGAGGAACTCACGGGAGAGCTGGACAGTGTCCCCAGGTTACCTGAGGTCAGGGCCTGGCTCAGCTGTCCCCAGGTCCCTGCTCAGCCGGGCTCATGAGCTGAGCTGGGCCCGCATGGCCTCCAGTGGCTGAAGTTTTGCCCAGCGTCTGCCCTCTCTGATCCCTCCGCCAGTGGCCATCCCAAGGAATGTCCTGTTAACAGTGACCAGACAGATTTCAGAGCCCTCCTCAGAACCTGCTTGACGAGGGGCGAGTGGTGCTGGGCCGTGAGGTGGACACACACCTGCTGACGGCAATCTAGGTATGGGTCTCTGTTCTGCCCAGACCCGCTGTGTGTCCTCGCGAAGGTCCCTGTCCACTCTGGTCTCGGCTTTACCCTAGGTGAAATGGCTAACAAGAGAGAAGAAGAGAGTTGGCACTGGTGACATCTTGAGGGTCACTTGAGTCTGACAGGCCTCAGCCCTGAGCAGCTCACAGGAGGCTCCCAGCTCTCCCCCCTCTTCACGCTTAAATCCAAGAAGATTCTAGAAAGGGAGCCCAGGGGTCCTTACTGTCAGCCCTGCCTTGAACAGAGCCCCGCCCCGTGGAGCCTCCCACAGAGGAAGCTGACGGGTGCTCAGCTGCAGGCGGGGGACCTGGAAGAGAGGTGCTGGTGGCCTGTAGCTGGGCTGTGGGTGGGAAAGGGCCCCTGGCTGGATTTTCTCAGGTTCATTAACATCTTCCAGGAGGACTGGGCTTTCACAGAAGCAGTTTCACTGAGGCTCCAACCCGGGTCTCTCCTGCTGCTTCTGTGTGAAACCCAGGACCACCCTGCGCGTCACAGTGACGCAGAGAGAGGAGACAGGCCCCATCTCTCCTACCAGGACAGCTGCCCCTCCCGGCCTGGCAAAGGCTGGTGGTAGAAAGGAGGCCATTCTCCTGAGGCCTCTGCTGAGGACTCGGGCAGACCCCATGTCCTCCTGCTGCACCCAGAGCAGACCCTGGGAAGAACTGGCCATGACATTGGAGGGGGCCCCACCTCCATCACAGAACTTTCATGGCCACCTTCGCATGTCCTGGTCAGCTCTAGAACTGAAATCCTGGTGACCAGGATCACCTCTTCTGTCCTGATTGTAATTTTTTTCTTTTTTTTTTTTTTTTTTTTTTTTGGTGCTGGGGATCAAACCCAAGGCCTTGTGCATGCAAGGCAAGCGCTCTACCAACTGAGCTATGTCCCAGCCCCGACACCATTGTAATTTGAAGCTACCTCCCCCACTCTGCTGAAATTCGACATTCCAGAAAGCTTGGGGATGGTCCCACTGGTAGTTTTCAAGGTGACATTGATAGGCACGCAGGCAAAGAGGTTTCTGTGGACAGTTCTGTAGTCACTTTTACGCTAATCTTAGAGAAGCTGTTGGTGACAAAAGGTGCTGGTTATCTATCTGTAGTCGTGATGTAAGGGTTCTTTGTTTGTTTGTTTGTTTGTTTTAGTTGTCAATCACCTTTATTTATATGCGGTGCTGAGAATCTAACCCAGGTCCTCACACATGCCAGGCAAGCACTCTGCCACTGAGCTATGACTCCAGCCCTGATTGTTTGTTTAATAAGTGTATTTATTTGAGCAAAAAAGAAAAAAGTCTATTGAGGACTTATTTCAAAAATCATAACATAGACGGCTGCAAATATGTCAGACAGTCCAAAGGTAACTTGCAGAAATGGCAGATGATCTAGGGTGGCTGTGACGTGCTGTGCTGTGCGGAGGGGAGGGATTTGGGAAACCTGGCCTTGAGGCCCAGATCTGGCACCGACTCACAGGGAGACCTTGGGCAAGCCCCCTCCCTCTCTAGGCCTATCGGCAAGGCCCCTCCCAGCTCTGACCCACCCTGGCTGATTCAACCACAAACCAGCTGCTGGAAACCTTAGGGTGATTCCCCAGTGGTCATCTTCCACCCTGAGGAGGAGGGCAAGCCCTCCCAGAGCCCCTGGCCCAGCCAGTGTGGGTGGCTGATGGCTGATGCCCCTCCCATCCCCTGTCCTCCTCCTCCTTCCATGCAGTGCCCCTCAGGGAAGGACAGCAGGACTAGAAATAGCAAGGCCCTTCCGCCCCAGATCAACGGCGGAGTCAACTCCTCTTTGAATCTCATTCAGCATTTACGGGGCTACATGGAATGGCTCACAGACACCCCTTCCCATCCAAATGACGCAGGCACTTATAAAATTGCAGCATCTCGGGCCCAACCTCCAAAATCTGACTGTCCTCCAGGGCAGGACCCAGGAGCCTGTGTTCTAAGCACCATGCTCAGTGGTACTGATGTGTGGTCCACGGTGACTCTTGGAGGAGGTCTGGGCTCAGAGCAGTAAAGTGACTTCTTCCAAGCCACAGAGCCCATACGTGCAGGCTCTGAGGTCAGGCAGACTCTCCAGGCTCCAGGGCTGACCCAGGACCCGCCGGCCTTGTACCTCAGGCCAGGGACCCAGTTCCTCCCCCCATCTTCTCAGTCCCCTGGGGACCCTCATGATGGATGGGTCCAGCCCTCCCAGGTCTCAAGTCAATGGGGACATGCAAGAGGCTCTCCCCATCTGAGGTGCTGAGCCCCGCTGCCCACTCTCTCCTCTTGGGAGGCAAGCCCCCTGAGTCCCAGGACCCCCCCAAATCCTGTGACTCAATCAGGAGGAACCTCCTTTTTGTACCAGAGACCCAGGCCTTGAAGAGAGAGAGCTCATTTCTGCGTCTCTCCCCTGATGACCACGCGCAAGGAAGTCCCCACACAGGGGGAGGGGAGGGGAGACAGACCGGGAGGTTCCCGCCCAGCGGGAGCACCTGTGGGGGTGGCCAGGCCTGGGGGGAGTGCACGGGGGTCCCCTCACCTGCTCACGAGCCACCTGTTCACTCACAGAGTGAGGAGCTGCTTAGAGCCCATGTGAGGCCAAGCTGGCCCTGGAGAGGTCGGGGGACCATAGGGGGACCACCCAGGGCCACAGTGGGCTCCTTGGTATCTGAGGAAGGTCCTGCAGCAGGGTCAGCTGGCAACCTTAAGTTCTGGTGGCCATATGATCTCCGTCACAATTACCTCTGCCATCGGAGCCAAAGTGTCTGAAAACCATGGGTCAAGGAATGAGTGTGTTTGTGTTCCAATAAAACTTTATTTAAAAAAAAAGGCCACAGGTGAGATTTGACCCTCCTGTTATAGCTCAGCGACCCCAGCCCCTGACTCATTAGCATGGCACACAAGGTCCCTCTCAGGCTGACCTCCTGTCACACATCCCTGGCCCTCACGGTCATCCCTCGAGGCACATGGGCTGTCCTCTCATGTCCAGATCTTTTCTCCCTTCTCAGGGCCCACGGCTCCTCCTGCCCCTTCCTTCTCTGCACCCCACACCCGTTTCCCATGACTATGGCAACACGTCGCCGTGAGGGAGGGTCTCAGAACACAGAAATCGGGGCCTGACCACACTGCAGTGAGGTCAAGGTCAGCGTCCTCCGGAGGCTCCAAGGGCAGATCCAGTCCACACTCCCCCTGGGCCCCAGCGGTGCCAGCCGACCTCGGCCCACTCAGGCTGTGGAGCATCTGTCCCGTCTCCACACTGCTACCCTCTGCCTGGGTTGTCAGGTTGTCCTCAAAGGACAGCAGTCCAGGGTGAGTGCTTCTCAACACCCTTCATTATGTCTGCAAAGATCCTATTTGCAAATAAAGTCACACTCACTGTCACCAGGGGTCAGGTCTCGGATGTCCCTTGGTGCTCCTCACCCACTCTGCCTTCCCTGGCTTCCTGGCCCCTCCTTTGCCTCTTCCTTCTCCCCTCCCGCCCCACCGTCCTTCTCCTCTTTCTTCTTTCCTCTTCTCTTTCCTTTGTGTCTTCTCCTCCTTCCCTTCCCTGCCTGGAACCAAGCTCAGCTGCTCTGGGCACCGGGAGAGGCAGCCCTGACACAGGGCTGTCGCTGAAGCCCATGGGGTACCCTGTCACCTTGGGATTAATGGCTCTGGCTCTCAGACAGGAGACTGAGGCTCCACCGGAGCAGACAAAATGCAGAGCTGAAAGTTCATCAGTGAGGTTTGATCCCTTCAATGGCCTCCCAATCCATCTCCCAGTCTCCGTCACAAACTAACCTGGTCATGGGGACATTCCATCAGGGCTCAGGGGCACCTGGAGGCTGGTTCTAAAACTAAGAACCCTGTGGGAGTTCAAGAAAGTCCCAGGCCTGGAGACCCCTGCTTGAAAAACTGCAACTCGTTACTGTGGGTCCCCCCAAAACAGACCTGAAGGAACGGATGTGAGCACAAGCCATTGGCCTGGGGTGTGCAAGGGAGACCAGCAGGGAGATAGTGACATAATCCAGCAAGGGAAGGCAGAGTGCACGGGCGTGTCAGTACAGAGGTGACTCCATATGAGATGGAACAAGAACTCACAAGTCAGAAATTCACAAAGTTCTGACCACGGAGACCAAACGTGGAGGTCGGAAGTTGACCCAGAGCACAGAAAGCTTAGAGGTGATGAGCAGGACCCCAGAATGTCAGAGCTGGGAGAAACCTATGAACAGAGGAGGAAGCTTAGAGTGTAGCTATAACTTGTGTGTGTGTGTGTGTGTGTGTGTGTGTGTGTGTGGTGGCAGGGAATTGAACCAAAGGTGCTTAATCACTGAGGCACATCCCTAGCCCTTTTTATTTTTTTATTTAGAGAGAGGGTCTTGGTAAGTTGCTTAGGGCCTTGCTAAGTTGATG